ACTGACTTGTACACTTTAGAATATGGTTCAAATGATAAAATGGAAACACTGAAGGTTTTCTTTTTAAAATGTAGTCACTTTCTTAAAAACAAACAGAAATTAGAGCGTGCAGCCCCAAACCAGATGTTACCATCTAATTTAATCATATTCTGGCACTGAATTCAAATTTTAGACCAAAACACAAGAAGAAATACATTAGCGCCAGCCTTGTAAAATAATATTTATAAATGACCTTGGCGCCTGGGTGGCTCAGCCATTAAGCGTCTGCCTTCGGCTCAAGTCATGATCCCAGGGTCCTGGGATCGAGCCCCGCATTGGGCTCCCTGCTACACGGGAAGCCTGCTTCTCCCTCTCCTGCTCCCCCTGCTTGTGTTCCCTCTCTCGCTGTGTCTCTCTCTGTCAAATAAATAAATATTTTTTAAAAATGACCTTTATTTTTCTTAAAAGATTTATTTATTTATTTTAGAGATTGAGAGAGAGAGAGAGCACAAGCAAACCAGGGGAGGGGCAGAGGGAGAGAAGCAGACTCCCCGCTGAGTGGGAGCCTGCCACGGGGCTCAATCGCATGACCCTGAGATCAGAACCTGAGCTGAAATCAAGGGTCAGATGCTCAATGGACTGGGAGGCACCCAAGCACCCCTATAAGTAACCTTTAAACTTCAGAGGATAAATTGGATACAGTGACCTCTTGCTTCCTTCTTCCATTCCTTTTTTCTAAATGCAGACAGATAAAAGAGAGTACTCATTGTAGGTCTGCATTTTACAATATACCACTACTACCATGGGAGATTAATTTTAGGTGAATATACATTTTTTCTTAATTTTAATAGGAATTTATTTTGAAGGTGTTAGAATAAACATCATTTACAAATTGTATTAGTTAGTACATATACTTGGCTACTCTAACAGAGACCAAAAAGTACAGTGTCTTAAACAGAGCAGAAATACATTTCTCTCTCATACAGAAGTCTGGGTAGGTGGTCCAGGGCTGGTGGAGCACGTTCATAGTCAGAGGTCTCAGCGTATTCACCTGGTTGCCCTGCCATCCTTGACACAAGTCTATCTCAGGGTCCAAGATGGCTGTACCAGCTCCAGAGTCATGTTCTCATTCCAGCCAGCAGAGAGGAGGAGAAAGAAGGGAAAGGTATGGCCCACCCTTTAAGAACAAATTTAGAAGTAGCACAGATCATTTCTGTTCACCTACTGTTGGTCAAAACTTAGCCACATATTCACAACCAGATACAATGGAGTCTGGGAAATATAATTTTTAGCAGGACTACCAACCATGTGCCAGCTAAAAATTCTATAATCATAGGAGGCTGATAAAAATTGGGAATAATTAGCAGACTCTTACACATAAAATCAACATTTTCTTTGCTATTGCTGACTTTCCATTATGGTAGGGGGATATAAAATTTCACTTTAAAGGGATTTAAGTTTAGAAATTCAGTCAGTTGTAAAAAAAAAAAAAAATTAATACTGTAGCTCCCATTGAGATAGGGCAAAAATTGTAGAGGTTGTATATGAATGAGTAGAGTTTAGGAAATACCCTGGTCGTTTTAATTGGTCACACTAAACTTAGGAAGCTACCAGGGATGATAGTTTTTCTTAACACTTAAAGACCATGCCTATGTAATGGCAAACATACAGATGTAAAGTGAAAATTAGGTGTTAATAGTTCTCTAGCAATGATTTGCAAACTGTGACCCAAGCATCTCTACAGAGGTGTTTCAGGGAGCCGGCAGATGACTGATTTAAATATAAATACATATATACACACATAGATAATTACAGTATAAATGTAAAACTACCTACCAAGCTATTATTAAAAAGACAGCAAGCAGAGCTCTCTGTCAGCCTGGTATACTGAGCACACACATATCCTCTCCCTTCTTAGAACCCCATGAAAATTATAGCAAGAGAGGGAAAAGGCATAATCCAATAAAACAAAGAGAATAGGAAGGGGCCATCCGTGGTCAAGAGATTTAAAGAAATTTCTGGAAAGCATTGAGCAGATGGATGTATATTGACTAAGAAGAGCTCCTTCCTGGATTACTGGCAGAGGAGGAGGCCCTGCCCCGCGGAACAGCAGACCCTCTACCCAAAAGGATGTGGGAGAGAGAGAGAGGGACACACAGGGTGTGCTTAACTGAGGGTCTTTAACTTCAGCAGCCAACCTTCTCACCCAGTCCTCCTCTACAAGCAGAATGGCAGGCAGCCTGGTGCATTTACCCCTATGTGACTACATCTCTCAGCCCCTGGGATCCAACCAAAACCAAAAGGTTTTGGGACAGGGCTCTTCTCTAAAGAAATTGATTAAACTGTTTGGGGAGCACTAGAGCGATGAGAATTGTCCTGCACGAGAACTAAGCCTTCTTTCTGCGTTCTGAGTCCAACACCACTTCGCCCTAAAGCAAAGCCCCTAGTCAAAAGGCTGTCTGGACTTCCAGTTACATGTGTTGAATTAAACACATGCACTATTTTCATTCTCTCCTGAATGAGACAATGAGCCCTCACTCGAGCTAACTTACCAACATGACAGTAAAGGAAAAATAAGATAAAATGGCAGGAAAGGAATGAGAAAGCTAGAAACAGACAAAGAGAGTGAGAAAGGAGGCATGCATGGATGAGAGATGTCAACAAAGTCTTAGGTGGAAAGCAGTGGGAACCTGAGTAACTTAGGAAGAGTGAGCAGAAACATCAATGCCCATGTAAGGGACTGTTTCTTGGTGTAGGTAAATGGCTCCTTAGAAAATCTCAAGGAGGGGCGCCTGGGTGGTTCAGTCAGTTAAGCGTCTGCCTTGGGCTGGGGTCATGATCCCAGAGTCCTGGGGTGGGGCTCCTGCTCAGCGGGGAGCCTGCTTTTCCTTCTCCTCCCTGCCCATGCTCTCTTCTCACACTCTGTCTCTCTCTCAAATAAATAAATAAAATCTTAAAAAAAAAAAAAGATCTCAAGGACTGGAAGCACCAGGTATCACAGAGGATGGAGCCTAAGTGTGGGGCGGAAAACAGCGGACTTCTGTGGAAGACCGTACATGTAAGGAAGTTCGTTGCACCCGATCTCTTTCCTACAAAAAGAAACTACCATTCCCACCCCTCACTCTCATAGGCTATTAGAGGTTTATTTTCAGGAAGACTAGAGTCAGAAAGTTTCAGACATAGGGAGGGTGTTAGTGAGATGCCAGCCTGGAAATAAGTGAACTAATTAAAAGCCTGCATGCTGAACAGAGACCCACATCCCCCCCCCATCATCCTCCTTGCTGTTCTTCACCCAGTTCTGAGAAAGTCAGCAGCTAAGTTGGTAACCCTCAAAGCTATTTAAAAAAATATTATCTTTTTAAACTTGAATGGCTTTGGAGAAATAATCCAAACATTTGGGAGTCCCTCACTGAGGAATCTAGCTCTCCCCTCAAACACTACAGGGGGGCTCCCCCCACCCCAGCATTCTGGCAGCTTGAGGGCGGCTCATCACTCAGTGGGCATGTGCCGCCAAGGATCACAAGACAGTTGAGGAGACCCTTCAACCCGAAGGGCAGAGATAAAACAAAGGAAACGGAGACAGTACTCGATGTAGAGAAACACAACTTCAAAAGACTAGTTATCCTCAGAGAGAAAAATAGAAGAACTTGCAGCTAGGAAACAAGAACAGGATGCTACTTAAAAAAATAAGAAGAAAAAAAAGGAATCATCAGAGAACTCTTGAAAGTGAAAATGCAGTGGCCAAAATTTTAGCAAGGGAATCATTGTCAGAGGAAATTTTCATGGAAGCCCAACTTAAGATAGATTGAAATGGTATTTTATTAGTACAAATGTACGTGAAAGCGTGTGTGGCTAGATCCTCAGGGGGATGAAGGGCATGTTCTCACACTGCTCTCACGGCTGGTCCTGTTACCTTGCTCTGCTTACATTCTGAATCCTTCTTTGGGATGTTTTTCCCATTTTTCTGCAAAGCCACTGGTGCTCATGTTTGTTAATGTCATACCTCTGATACTGATAATATCTCTGAAGTTACATGCTTTCAGCTTCAAGTAAGAGAAACTCCTATTCAAACTGGTTTTCATTTTTTTTTTTTTTTTAAGATTTTATTTGTCAGAGAGAGAGAGAGAGAAAACAAGCGGGGGGGGAGGGGCAGAGGGAGAAGCAGGCTTCCCGCTGAGCAAGGAGCCCGATGTGGTGCTCGATCCCAGGACCCGGGGATCATGACCTGAGCCGAAGGCAGACACTTAACCGACTGAGCCACCCAGGCGTCCCAAACTGGGTTTCATTTTTTTAAAAAGATTTTATTTACTAGAGAGAGAGAAAGTGAGCGCGTGAGAAAGCACAAGCATGGGGAGGGGCAGAGGGAGAGGGAGAAGCAGACTCCCCGCTGAGCAGGAGCTCCATGCAGGGCTGGAGCTGGATGAGGGGCTCAACGTGGGACTGATCCCAGGACCCTGGGATCATGACCTGAGCAGAAGGCAGAGGCTCAACCGACTGAGCCACCCAGGCGCCCCAAAACTGGTTTCATTAATGAAGATACTTATTATCTCACCAAACAGGAAGTGGTTTTCAGTGTTGGCAGATTCAGTGGTTGGAAAAGGGGCTGGGACTCTTGTATTACTTGGTATCTTAAAAACCATGTGCATTTATCACTTCCATTTTCTTTTTTTTTAATTAATTAATTAATTTATTTATTTTTAAAGATTTTTATTTATTTATTTGACAGAGAGAGAGATAGCGAGAGCAGGAACACAAGCAGGGGGAGTGGGAGAGGGAGAAGCAGGCTTCCTGCCGAGCAGGGAGCCTGATGTGGGACTCGATCCCAGGACCCTGGGATCATGACCTGAGCCGAAGGCAGACGCTTAACGACTGAGCCACCCAGGCGCCCTTAAATTTATTTATTTTTTTTTAAGATTTTATTTATTTATTTGACAGAGAGAGAGATAGCGAGAGAGGGAACACAAACAGGGGGAGTGGGAGAGGGAGAAGCAGGCTTCCTGCTGAGCAGGGAGCCCGATGCGGGGCTCGATCCCAAGACTCTGGGATCATGACCTGAGCCAAAGGCAGACGCTTAACGACTGAGCCACCCAGGCGCCCCTGGATCAAGAATTTTTATATAGACCTCCTGTCATGTCTGTGCATTTAAATGTGCTTATTAATGCATCATTGTTTAGGAAGGTCAAAGCTCTGCCCTGGCTTTTTAAGATTCAGGCCTGTCCATTCTTGTACAGTTGTGCAAAGGAGTATATCTCTACACATGTTAACTCAAATGTCCAGCAAGACCCAGGTATTTGAATCTTTTTTTTTTTTTTAAAGATTTTATTTATTTATTCATGAGAGACAGAGAGAGAGAGAGAGGCAGAGGGAGAAGCAGGCTCCCAAGGAGCAGGGAGCCTGATGCGGGACTCGATCCCAGGACCCTGAGATCATGACCCGAACCGAAGGCAGACACTTAACCATCTGAGCCACCCAGGCACCCAAGACCCAGGTATTTGGTCACATGGTCTAGTCATGGCATAATGGCCAGTTATGTAATAAGGAGTGAAGAAATAACAAATTCAGAAGATACGATTTGTGATTCCACTTTTTTTGTTGTTGTTGCTGTTTTGTTTTTCAAGATTTTATTTATTTGAGAGAGAGCATGAGAGAGAAAGCTCACAAGCAGGGGAGGGGGTAGAGAGCCCACTTTGGGACTTGATCCCAAGACCCCAGGATCATGACCTGAGCCGAATGCAGACAGCCTACTGAGCCACCCAGGCATCTTGTGATTCCACTTTGAAACAAACATTTCCTGCTACTCTTCTTTCAAGTTTTGGGATTAAGTTTAACTGGAGAGTATCCTGAGATTGCAACAGTAGGTGTTTTAAAATTTTGTCTAATTCACTATTATTTCACCCTATCAGTCAGAAGTTTTCTTGATACTTTGCTGCGGCTGACCAAAAACTGCAAAAGTCATCCATGACTCCCAATGCCGCATTTGTAACAAAATAGCTTCATGTTATCATTTGCATTTTTAGATATAGTTCCAAATATGTCTGTAACTGTATGAAACTGTAACATGTATTTGCACAAATAAAATGCTGTTTTAATTATTTTACATTGAATTCTATAAAAATTTCATTCGACAAAATTCTTCTGCTGCTAAAATGTTTCATTACCATTCACCTACATTGTGCAAAATTAGGAAATATCCAGATTATGTCATAGAATCAGAATCTGAAAAGTAATCCATTTTTCCTGTGAAAAAACAGATTTTTGAAAGCTTTATTTTATTCATTTAAGGATTTTATTTTTAAGCAGTCTCTACAACCAGTATGGGGCTCAAACCCACAACCCTGAGATCAAGAGTCATACGCTCCACTGACTGAGCAGCCAGGCGCCCCTGAAATAACAGATTTTAAGGAGGGTGGTTGCCTGAGATGTTTAAAGTTGGGGTAATTTTACAAAACAAAATTTATTAGGATCTATAAAGAAAGTAAGCCGAAGTATATACGGCTCCTTCGAGTTAAATTAAAATGTAACTCATGTTCAAAGTTATGCATTACTTTTATAAAAAAAAAAATTAGTTCGCCTATTTGAAAAATCAAAATCAAACTGGCCTTCTACATTACATATTTTATAATTTTAGCCATCTAAAAACTTCCTTTGCAAGAACGTAGTAGAAAAACAGGATTTAGAGTCAAAAGATGAAGTTGAATTCTAGTACCTGGGAAAGAAAATCCTCCCTCAGGTCATTACCATCGCATACAACCCCCTCAGTGGAGTGGTGTGAAAAATAGAAGGAATCAGTGGGATAGTACACGTGGATGTGGCAAACTACTGTAAAATGAGGGTTAACACCCTTTTTCTTAGGTTCTATTTCCGTCTTCCGATACCATCGTGATCTTGGTTTCCCCGAGGTCCTAACCAAGTAACTATTGTGAAACTATTTTGCAGGTCTAAGCAGTCATCCCAATGTAAAGAATCAACATGCAAACTCTTAAGCCTTTCTAAATTATTCCAGCGATGCTGCAGTATTCTGTAAAGGCCATATGCCGACTGTAAGAAAGCAGATCACCCTCGAGCTGTGCTGTTTCATCACGATATGTCATTTTTCACAAGTGCCATGTGACGATGACGTACAGGTAATAGGCTTGGAAGCTTTTCTAGAAGTTTTTCATGTATTTTTAATTATACTGTTAACAGTAAAACTCTTAAAAGACATTTTATGATTATATCACAGCAAGCAATTGTTTAATAGAACAAAGAAGATACGCTAAAAGGCAAGTGAATTATTTAATTAAATATGCACAGCTCTCGACGTGTTTCTTAAAACAAGGAGACTGAGGTATGTCCACTGAAGTCAGGCATTCTGGTACCACTTCTTTTTTTTTTTTTTTTTTTTTAAGATTTTATTTATTTATTTGACAGAGAGAGACACAGCGAGAGAGGGAACACAAGCAGGGGGAGAGGGAGAAGCAGGCTTCCCGCGGAGCAGGGAGCCCGATGCGGGGCTCGATCCCAGGACCCCGGGATCATGACCTGAGCCGAAGGCAGCGGCTTAACCGACTGAGCCACCCAGGCGCCCTCTGGTACCACTTCTATTACCAGTTGGAATCAGATATTCACAATTCATGTGATCTTGAAGGTCTTGTTATATTTGAGAGGACTTTTTTCTTTTAGCCACTAGATTTTTCAGGAAAAATTCACCTATTTAGGAAAAATGAAAACACGTTACTACCAATTTAACATAAATTTCAGAATTACACGTGTTTCCTTTCTATTTTTTAATTAATTTATTTTTTTAATGTTAAGGTCTACACCCAATGTGGAGCTTGAACTCGTGACCCGGAAATCAAAGAGTTGCATGCTCTACCGACTGAGCCAGCCAGGTGCCCCATTAGCTTTATCTTTTTTTTTAAGTAAACTCTACCCCCAATGGTTACAAAAAATTTTTTATCACTATAGTCTCTGTTATTCTTTCTAGTAATTCAACATTTTAAAAGGGTGACCCTATTGTATCTACATTTTGTTTCTATTGTATTGTACACTTTTGAACATTTATTCCACTTTATGTGCACTATCTATTCCTCGCCACTGACAAAGTATTGCCGTTGGCACAATTCATTTCAGAGAGCAATTCTGCTCCATTATTAGCCTGGATCTGATGTTTATAAAACAGACCTCATTGCAGTTGAGCAGACTCATCTGATGGAATCCCTTCAGCTTATTCCCCTCTAGGGAAGCAAGAGCTCTTCATTTATAATGGGCTTTCTCCCCACCCCCTCAGTTGTGCCTGAGCATTAAGAGAGCTGCTTAGAGGGGGCACATTTCCCTTTTCAGGTCATTAGGGTTCCATTTTGTCTCTCACTGTTACAGCATGGCTCAGTGCTTACTGGCAGAGCCCAGCACCGCGGGCCTGGTTTTATGAGTCTGATGAACTTTGCTTTGTCATCTTAATATACACGTATAACTGCAACGACCATATGTGTACACAATCACCAAGAATCCCAAGGTTCACAACCCAGCCACATAATGGAGAGTTATCCATGCTCCTCTAGACCTTATCTAAATCTGGCAGGAGCAGAACCAACATTACCAGGCCCTAGCCCATCATCTGAGTCTAATGCGCTACATAGTAGATCTTTTACTGGTAACTTTAAAAGTACTAAAAAGTTCATAATTTACTTTCTTATAAATGTTAAAAATTTTCCTTAAAAAACAAAATAAAAACTCCTTGCAAATGATTTTACTTTACTCTAACCACTCTGGAAGCTGATGTTAGTTCTATTCTTTACAGAGGTTTTCAGCTTGCCAGCAGAATTCTTCTTGCTTGAAGAATCACTTTATTGGCTTCCAAAGTCCCCACATCCTGTGAGTCAGTGTTGAATCAACGTCTTGGGTTTTATAACGAGGATAAGCTGTTGTTAGTTCATTGAAATGCCCTGAATTTCTTTATAGGAACACACTGAACATCACTAATACATGAACATTAGCTTTTACCAATAGAATGCATGCCTAATTTAAATATATCCATGATTTAAACCCTATAACACAATCATCTAAAAGATCATTTACAGTAATCATGTAGTTTAGATTGATCCAAAAAATAACTGCTTATTCTTCAAGAAATTACAATTGTTATGTCCAACTGATAGGGAAAACATTATAAACATTTTTTGGATTAAATTCAGGCTTCAGATATGTTCTCATAGACTTTTTGATGGCCATTACCACATGACTTTTTATCACTTGGAAAAGGCTTTTCTTTTCATTAAGTCAGCTCAAGCTATTGACCAAAATAAGAGCTGAAATTACAAAGGTGAAGAACTGCAGTGTAGCTAGTAAAAACAGTAACAATTTCTATAAGGAAAATAACCTTACACATTTTTTTCCTGTTGCCTCTGGGAGGAAAACCACAGAGATATTAAGAGAAACAGCAATGTAGTCAAACAGCTACTTCTCAGGATTTAAACTGATCTGAAATTAGGAGTTTAGAGATGCAGCAGGCATGACGGCGAATGAATATACATTTTTCAGAAAACCACGTTATATACTTAACTGGTATTTGTCATTTCTGAATAACCTACTATTGAAATCCACACAAAGAATAAGCTGATTCCTCCTGCTTTCGTCACAGTAGCTGAGCTAGAAAGGGGGAGCAAGTTCTTTATTTAAAGGAAAAAACAGGCTTAAGAGAAATTTTTCCTTAACATGTCCTCTATGGAGCAAAGTTCCTAAGGAAGTTCCAGAAAAAAACGCATTTTTTCCTATAAAAGGCAACCACAGCTATTATAAATTTAACATGGAAAGTTATGGTCTAAATAAAACCATGCCCTGCGGTCTAACTTACCTGCTTTATATGAAGAACGCACCAGCGGGCCACTAGCAGTGTAATGAAATCCAAGTTCATTTCCTACTTTTTCCCAGTGTTTGAACTTTTCAGGAGTAATGTATTCATCAACCTACATTTAAAGAATTCATTCAGATAGATTTTAGAATTTCCCTAAATCATTATGATTCTGTAGAAAATCTATGCTCATGCATTCAGGATGGTTTTCACTTCATAATTTACCCAGTTGCCCAGGGGCTTTTCTCCTCTCCTTCCTCACAGACGACCTGTCTACTGGTTACTGGGCCCCTCTATCAGTACTCGATCACGGGGAATTAGAGAGGAGGGAAAACATCAATTTTGTAGTACATTAACTATTCTAAAAGATGAGATTATCTGTAGAGATTACATATCTGTATTACTCCTTCACTGACTAACAGGTATAATCAAGAATTAATCACGTCTACAAGGTTCGTGAGGACCAGACTTCCATGTCTTGTCTCGTCTTTTGTGCTCAGCCCTGAGTCTGGCACATAGTCACTACTCGACAAACGTTTCTTGAACGAACGAATGTCCAATACAGAAATAAGAAGACTGACTTTTCTTTTTTACTTCACCTCTGGCTCTCATGTCACTCTAAAACAAATCACAAGATGACCAAGTGTGAATGAATGCCATTTCCCAACTATTTAATTCTTTTTCTGTACATTCACTGAAGTCGTATAATTTTCAGGCCAGTATATCTGTTGGCTTTATGCAGATAATAAAAAGGAAACTGGGGCTTGGAAATATACAGGGAACATTACACTAGAAAGTCAGCAGCTTCTTAATTGTACCTACAGATGACAAAGATCTAATTCAAATTACCAGTGAACGTTCGGTAATTCAAGATAGCAATACCTTAAGGTGGCGCTTTGTTGGTTGCATATACTGTCCTAAAGTCAAACAGTCTACATCGGCTTCACGAAGTGCTGTAGAAAAAAGGCACACATTACATTAACAGATTTTTTAAAAAGATTTTTTAACTTAAAAAAAAAATTTATTTTTAAGTAATCGCTACACCCAAAACGGGGCACGAACTTACGATCCTGAAATCAAGAGTTGCATGCTCTATAGACTGGGCCAGCCAGGTGCCCCAAGATTTTTTTATTTTTAAGTAATCTCTACACCCAAGGTGGGACTCAATCAAACTCAGAACCCTGAGATCAAGAGTCATATGCTCCACAGACTGAAGAAGCCAGGCGCTCCATTGGTAGATGTTTTTATGATGCTGAAATTGTAGATTTAAGCATAATTTCCCTGAGCATCATTTTACTTCAGAACAGTGTGAATTTTACGCTGTCCCAAAACCCTGATGTTGGGGAGTAAGACTATATCTATCCATTTAAAAGTGCCAGGGAATATGAAAAGGATTGGAAACATAGGAATGAGTAAGACAGTCATGAGCGGCTGACAAAAAGAAGGACAAATAACTCTAATACTATGGAATAAATTCTAACATAAGGGTTAAGGGTATTTCAAGCAGAAGTCTGTTGGGCAGAAAAGAGGAAGGGAATGGTATACAAAAGGCCTGAAATCACTCATACTATAGACCAGACATGCTGTACTCAGTTTTACTAACTGTGCAAGATATGCTTGGAGGATGTGATTTGACCTCTCATGTATCAGAATTTTTCTAGTACAACTGTAATTTTACTCTAGTAAAGAGAAGCTTTTAATTACTATTTGCACTTGTTACTCTTAGAACCAATAAATAACTGCAAGTAGGCAAAGGATCCTCATGTAAATAACAGGTTTGTTTTTTTTTACAATTTATAAAGCCCAAGAATCATAAAGCAGATGGGCTTATGAGACTAAGATTCAGCAAAGTCCAAAGCACATCATATTATGTGACAATGTTACCAGTAAGCTCTTCCTCAAAGGCCTGGCTTCATCTTATTCATCTTGTCACTGCCTGTCAGAGCTCCTGGTAACCTGGCTGGCTCTTAAAACTATGCAATGACTAAATAAGAAACGTGGATAAAATCTTATTTTCACTTGATTAAAGGGTACGGAATAAAATGGGATACAAATTTCATATCCTTTCTGCATATCATTCCATAGTGTTCTAAGAAAACATACTTTTGGGCGCCTGGGTGGCTCAGTCAGTTAAGTGTCTGTCTTCAGCTCAGGTCATGATCCCAGGGTCCTGGGATTGAGCCCCATGTTGGGCTCCCTGCGCAGCGGGGAGTCTGCTTCTCCCTTTCCCCACTCTCCCTCTGTGCTTTCCCTCTCTCTGACAAATAAATAAATAAAATCTTAAAAAAAAGAAAAGAAAACTACTTCCTTTCCTTTTTATGCTGCTGTTATAATCATATTCTGTACTTTGTTCTTACTGGCACTTTCGCTGAGACTATGGAGGAAGCATAACACGGCCTTCAAAATGGAGTTCCTGCTATTACTCAAATTAAATGAAAAAGAGTTTTCATTTTCCAATTTCTTTACCTTTCATTGTTGCATATACTTGCTCATCATTTTCGCCTAAACCCAACATTATAGATGTTTTAGAAATCACATCAGGCCGAACCTCCTTGGCGTGTTTCAGTACGCGCAGAGACTGGTTGAAATTGGCCCGGGGATCACGAACTTTCCTTGAAAACAGCAGGGCTGTTGTCAGCAAGAATAACCACAAGCTCAACTGAGTACATAGTTATGCAAGCAAGTTAAAAGACTGGGAAAGGACATTCTGGACATTATATTACATCATGTGGTTCAATATTAGCATTTGTGCACAAATATCTAGCTGTTGCTTTTGTGAAGAAAATCAGGCTTCACTGGGCCCCGTAGTTCTGTCTACTTTTAAGGCCTTTCAAGCCTGGGGCAGAGAAAACTAGAATGGAAATAATTCGGTTTATGAATTACTCATTGAGAAACCAAAATTCGAAGCTGAGAAGGAGTGATTGTAAGGGATAGTCAAGAGAGAAGAGAAAAAGAGTGGAAGAAAATCTCAACACCGAACAAAGGAAAAACTGTTTAACATGTACCCACATTTCAGAGGTCTGAAACTTTTATGTTCAGTTCTTTTCTAAAGACCAAGCTGCCCTCTGCTGGTGAGTATACGACACTGACATCTCTTCGGTAAAAACGCATGATTCTGGAATTTTCACTGGAAAGGATAATGTTTCTTAAGTGAAACCAGGGAAATTGGCACCCACTGGTGGCAGTTTCATGAGAAATGACAGCACTGGAATACGCTGTGTGTCAGACTTCAACAGCAGCCAAACCACCACGTTTTAAATGGCGAGAAGGCCAAAAGGAAGGAGTTGCTGATCAGTTGACGTTAATCCCGTATACGTTTGAATCCTAATGCATCTTTATTTTGTGTAACTTACTTGCTGTTATTTTTAATCAGAGACCAGTTCACAGGAAGAAAGGAAACCAATTTGCGAGTTTAAAAATAACCACAAAACCCGACAATACCGAACTAACTACTCTAGAAAGTATTTCTCCATTGGCTTTGTTATGCTCCCTAATGTTTATGATTTAGTGGAAAGGCTGGTTATTGTTTACCATACTTTTTTCAAGTCCTATAATACAGATAATGTGCAGCAGCTATTAAGATCACTGCCAAATATACTTTACTAAAATTAAATAAACATATTAATCTTGCCTGAAGGTTAAATTTTCATCTTTCTGAAATATGAATATGATCATTAATGTGGTGTAACAATCTGTAAATTTTCCTAACTATTAACATTATTAGAAAGAACAGTACCTACTTTTTAAGAGATTGAAGATACATCTGAAAGATAACAGTGTTCCTTTTGTATCACTTATTGCATATTTTAGTGCCAAATGTATTTTTTTTTTTAAGATTTTATTTATTTGACAGAGACAGACACAGTGAGAGAGGAAACCCAAGTGGGGGGAGTGGGAGAGAGAGAAGCAGGCTTCCCGCTGAGCAGGGAGCCCGATGCGGGGCTTGATCCCAGGACCCTGGGATCATGACCTGAGCTGAAGGCAGACGCTTAACGACTGAGCCACCCAGGCGTCCCCAGTGCCAAATGTATTTTTAAAAGTCTTTTCTTGGGGCGCCTGGGTGGCTCAGTTGGTTAAGCGACTGCCTTCGGCTCAGGTCATGATCCTTGGAGTCCTGGGATCGAGTCCCGCATCGGGCTCCCTGCTCAGCGGGGAGGTCTGCTTCTCCCTCTGACCTTCCCGCATCTTGTGCTCTCTCTCACTCTCTCTCTCTCAAATAAATAAATTAATTAATTAAATTAAATATTCTAAAAGTCTTTTCTTTTTAGAATTACAATCAGAGTTGTTGCTCTTGTATAATTTTTTCTTTTATTTTTGAAAACCGTTCTTTGAAAAAATTACTCATCGGCACTTGCAGTATGATACTATTTAAAAAAAAAAGATGCTCATAATGTATATGTGCACCAAAACGTTCACACATGCATATAAATACATACACTTAGGTTATGGTAATTGATATTACTGGGTGGAAATATTACGGGTGATGCTTATGCTCTTTTTGTTGGCTTTATTTTCTGATTTTTCTATAATACGTATATGTTGCTTTTGTTAAGAAAAGAAAGAGAGCTCATTTTGTAAAAGTCAAATAGAAAGTTCTCCCCTGCAAAACGTGAGAAAAGATAGCAGATTCTGGCCCTCCAAACTTGCCAATGTGACTCTGTACATGAAATCACCTCTGTAATTCTGGAACTGTTTCTACATTATGTGCATACACATCCAATCCTGACAGAGCAACTTTTTCTATTGCTTTTAGATCTCCTCGGAAATCAGGGGTGAGACATTCCACAAGAATTTTTGGATTCCTATGAGGGGAAAAAAATAAGTATCAAACTGAGGCAAAGAATTCACGTAACTATTGCTCAAAACAGAAATTACCAGTACTCATTCGGTATCAGTTTCAACACAGTTATCTTTAGAATCTTGCCAATCTGGGAATCATGCTTTAGAAAGCATGAACATACAAATGTTCATATATAAACTGTTATATGGAAAAAAAAAAAAAAACCCTGAACATCAAATATTATGTACATAACGGTTACAACAGATCTGCTTGCAAATAATGATCAGAATAAATTCTGAGATTAATAGACTTATACTTTATTGAGCAGTATTAAGAAAATAAAGTTGCTCGGGCGCCTGGGTGGCTCAGCTGGTTAAGTGACTGCCTTCAGCTCAGGTCATGAACCTGGAGTCCCGGGACTGAGCCCCGCATCAGACTCCCTGCTCAGCAGGGAGTTTGCTTCTCCCTCTGACCCTCCCCCTCTCATTCTCTCTCTCTCTCACATAAATAAATAAAATCTTAAAAAAAAAAAAAAAAGAGCGCGCTTGGGTGGCTCAGTTGGTTAAGCGACTGCCTTTGGCTTAGGTCATGATCCCAGGGTCCTGGGATCGAGTCCCATGTCGGGCTCCCTGCTCAGCGGGGAGCCTGCTTCTCCCTCTCCCTCTGCCTGCCACTCCCCCTGCTTGTGCTCTCTATCTCTCTGACAAATAAATAAAATCTTTAAAAAAAAAAAGTTGCTTAAAAGAATTCAAATATAAACATTAAAACATGAAATATATCTTTTTATTCTTTGGAAAGTAAATTGGGACAATTCTTATGTGAATGCAAATAGTATTTGACTGCCTTAATTCTGATTTCTTTAAAAATTCATCAAATAGTGTCATCCTCCTTTCCTCAGGCAAATATTTCACAAGTGCTGTGGGTTTTAAAAACTGTTTTCTGAGTTGCTGAGTCATGAGCTTTGCTTAAATACAAGTTAAACATTAATCTTCTTATTTATATTCTGGCTATATCTATGCATTCAAGCATTAAAATGTGAACTAGGTCATAGTGCTGTTCCCTCTGACAGCAGTAGAAATGACTAGGACAGCTGATAAATTTTTTCACAAACCCAATGGCAAAGTTTCTGGAGCTGTTTCCTGAGAGAACAGATGTAAAAAGGACCACATATATACCCTCTCATAAGATAAAAGAAATGTTGAAAGAACATAGCTTATAACTCACTGTTTTTTCAATTGTAAAGTTGAGACTCATCAGTAGTTTGTGAAATCAATTTAGTGGGTTGCAAACAGAACTTTTTAAAGTAAACTATTAAAAAATTTAGAAAACACTAGGGGAATCATTAAAAAAACATCTACTAAGTGCTAGGTGCTCAACTAGCACTAAGCTGTAGGAAGCAAGCATAACTCCTTTTTTAATACTTTTTAAATAGATGGGATTAAATATTAATAAAATGTGGATCATGGGTAAATTTCCCAGGGCATATGAATATGGATAAAATCTATATCAAGCATTGCATACTTTAACAATGTGAGAACTTACCTCATTCTATATACTTCTAGATGATGATTTACTCAAAATTAGTGCCGGGAAGACTGCAGTGTTATACACCTTTTTAAAAATTACTCCAAGTTTAAACTGACACTCAAATATGAAGGACAAGTTCTATGGCCTAAAGGTCTGTAAGTCTGTGCTGCTGAATCCCTAAAATTTTATGCAAATATGTATCTGTATGTTTGAATATACTTTTTCTGGAGAAAAGACCACATAATTTCCAGGAGGTTATCAGAAGGGTTTATAATCCCCTAAAAGGTTAATAACCTCTGCTTTTTTTTTTTTTTTAAAGATTTTATTTATTTATTTGACAGAGAGAGACACAGCGAGAGAGGGAACACAAGCAGGGGGAGTGGGAGAGGGAGAAGCAGGCTTCCCGCCGAGCAGGGAGCCCAATGTGGGACTCGATCCCAGGACCCTGGGATCATGACCTGAGCTGAAGGCAGACGCTTAACGACTGAGCCACCCAGGCGCCCCAATAACCTCTGCTTTAAGGTAAATACCTTAAAGAAACTGAATTTATATGGGCTAAAAAAAGTCCTCAAATTACACAAGCAAATGCAAAAACAAGTACCTTTCCTTTAAGTATGATACAGTCTTTGCAAAATGCTCAGCTCCTCCGTCAGGCAAATCTAGAAACAAAAGAGTCCACTGCTCAAGATGATGTCACAACTTATTAAGGACCAATTTCTGGAAGAGGCAATGATGACGCACTAACCATCTCGATCCACAGACGTCAAGACAACATAATCCAGACCCCACTCTGCAATTGCCTTTGCAGTATTGTAGGGCTCACTGGCATCCAGTGGAGGCGGATTTCTTGCCGTTTTAACAGAACAAAATCTGCAACCTCTTGTACATGTGTCACCCATCAACTAGAACAGAGATGTTATAATTTAAATCACATAGATGGATGACCCGAAAGAACATATGCTGAGAGTTATAAAGCAAGTTACAAAAAATGAATATAGTTTGATTTTGCTTATAGGAAATTTGAAACATTCAAAGGTAAATAAAATACAGTTAAGAAATACAAATATATGTAATAAAACTGGAAAGAAAAGGAAATGGATGGGGTGCCTGGGTGGCTCAGTTGTTAAGCGTCTGCCTTCAGCTCAGGTCATGATCTCAGGGTCCTGGGATCAAGCCCCGTCATCGGGCTCCCTGCTTGGCAGGAAGCCTGCTTCTCCCTCTCCCACTCCCCCTGCTTGTGTTCCCTCTCTCGCTGACTCTCTCTCTGTCAAAAAATAAAATCGTAAAAAAAAAAAAAAAAAGAAAAGGAAATGGTAAGCTCAGGATTAAAAATGGTGTTAAAGGAGGGGCGCCTGGGTGGCTCAGTCGGTTCAGCTCAGGTATTGATGTCAGGGTCAAGAGTTCAAGCCCCATGCTGGGTTCCATGCTGGGTGTGAAGCCTGCTAAAAAAAAATGTCAAAGGAAAAAAAAGGTGATGGGATCAGGAAAGGATGTACAGGGGGGTTCAAAGATAATAATAATGTTCTACTCTCAAACCGGAGGTATCAGGCTGTCTACTATACTGTTACTCTTTAAAACCTACAGGGGGGTGGGGTGGGAGGGATGGGGTGACTGGGTGATAGACACTGGGGAGGGTATGTGCTCTGGTAAGCGCTGTGAATTGTGCAAGACTGTTGAATCTCAGATCTGTACCTCTGAAACAAATAATGCAATATATGTTAAGAAAAAAAAAAAGAAGAAGGTATCTTAATGTAGCACATGATTAACTGTCACATACATGGAAAAATCAATAATAGTTTTATTCAGGGAAGGATGAGAGTGTATCAGCCTAGACTATTTTGTCAGGTTTTTTTCCCTCATATTTCTCATAATTTCATATGTAACAAAAAATCTGGCCAGAGATTCAGAGTGCACATTTTTAGGAGAAAGACATAAAATATCCCTTTCAGTTTCTAGACTAAAACTTCACAGGCTGAGGTTGTTCTTACCATGATTGTGGCTGTGGCAGTCGCGTACTCCCCACCTCCCCAACATTCTCCAATGTTGGGGCATCGAGCTTCCTCACACACCTGTGAGTAAGAAGGAATGGAATACAATCAAGTTGAAAATATTAACCAGCTGAGCAAAGTAGTCATCAGGCATCTTAAACTGTCCATTCTTTACAATGTATTTATGAAGAAAGTCACTATTCAAAATGCTGTTAAACTGTCAAACTGTATATATATCAGGATCCCATTTTTAAATTAAAAACAATAGGAATGGATATATTTTATACATGCAAAGAAGGCCTGGATGGAAATATGCTAAAAAATAAAAGTGGTGTAGTTAACGTTTGCGATTGCATATATGATGTTTCACATTTAACATTATATTCTTTCCAATAAGCATGTATTTAATTTGTAATACAAAACATAGAAAAAACCTCTCATCTCCTAAGTTGCAGGGGAAAAAATCTTTTTTTGTACTATTCAGTGTGAAATTAAGAAATATAATTACCTTTTGTTTCTTTTGCAAGGAAAATGATTAAAAAAATTTTTTTTAAGATTTTACTTATTTATTTGTCAGAGAGAGAGAGGGGAGAGCAAGCACGCGCACAAGCAGGGGGAGCGGCAGGCAGAGGGAGAAGCAGGCTCCCTGCTGAGCAAGCAGCCCGATGCCAGATTCAATCCCAGGACCCTGGAATCATGACCTGAGCTGAAGGCAGACACTCAACCAACTGAGTGACCCAGTCGTCCCTAAAAAAAAAATTTTTTTTTAATTTAAATTTTAATTTTAACTAATCTCTACACCCAACATCGGGTTTGAATTCACAATCTCAAGATCAAGAGTTGCATGCTCTACTGACCAAGCCAGCCAGATGCCCCGGGAAAATGATTTTTAAATGTATTTCCAGGGGCACCTGGGTGGCTCAGATGGTTAAGCATCCGCCTTTGGCTCAGGTCATGATCCCAAGGTCCTGGGATCGAGTCCCACATCCGGCTCCTGGCTCAGCGGGGAGCCTGCTTCTCCCTCTGCGTCTCCCCATGCTCATGCTCTCTCTCTGTATCTGTGTCTCAGATGAAGAAACAAAATCTCTTAAAAAAATGTATTTCCATTACTGATAATAATGCATCTCTAAACATCTTTATTTGCTTTCCTTGCTGTTTTTGATATGTGTTTTATTAAATTTTAAGTTACACATATGCAGAAACACTATGACTTTTAATTAAGAGGGACATTTAACACTTTGAAACTTACTGTATGGAGATTCAAATTCCGCAATGTATTTTTCAGTTTATTGTAATTTTTCCCCATGGGAATCTCTGTCTTTAGCCAAGGAGGTAGTCTTAACCTGAGGAAAGTCAAACATAACTATCCATTAACAAATATGTTCCCAAATAATCACACAGCTTTGAAGTTACTTTGCTCTGTAACAATTCTTAGTGCAGAGGTTTTTTTTCCATAATCCTGGGTTAACTCTTACAATTTCTCTTCTAAGAGTAAGAACAGAGACTCAAATTTAGGCTTGTTCAAACCACTTCAGAAAACCCTCATAATTGTGTCTAACAGAGCACTATGCTCATGTCTACCTTTTGCAAAGTCAGAAAGTAATGCCATCTTCATGAAAGAATGAGGAAGTTTTTGAACATCTCATTCCCCAGTGAATAATATTGACAAAAGTTCTCTATTTGTTCAGAGAAAGGAGAGATCCCACAAGTGTTCCAGTGTTCTGCTCTACATTCCAGATTTGTGATGGTTATTAAATGGAAAAAAATCTAAAATTTGGAGTGAAGATTATGTATCCTTGGGTTCCCCTTGACTTACATCCACTTGTGATCTAGAAGTTGTTGGGTAGGGTATCTCCCAAAACAATTTGTCCTCTCTGCAAAATTCCCTCACCATTCTTTTGAATTAAGGCAAGGTATCCATAAGTCATATGTACATTGAATAGGAGAAGCATACCAATACCCAGTAACAATGAAAAATTTATCAAGATCAAATCGGCTAGTAGCAAGGTGATAATGTTTGCTCTATGAAGAAATTTTATGTTGAATGCACAAAGGGAGATGGTAGTATAGGATGGCTAAGTCCTAGGAAGACTGAAGAAAAACTGTCAAAGAGCACAGAGAAGAGGATTCCAACAATTTCAGCTATTTACCTATTCTGTGTCTGTTACCTCTCTTTCTTTCTCTTTTTTATTAACATATAATGCATTATTTGTTTCAGGGGTACAGTCTTGTGATTCATCAGTCTTACACAATTCACAGCACTCACCATAGCACATACCCTCCCCAATGTCCATCACCCAACCACCCCATCCCTCCCACCCCCTCCCCTCCAGCAACCCTCAGTTTGTTTCCTAAGATTTGAGTCTCTTATGGTTTGTCTCCCTCTCTGGTTTCACCTTGTTTCATTTTTTCCTCTCTTCCCCTATGATCCTCTGCCTTGTTTCTCAAATTCCATGTATCAGTGAGATCATATACTAATTCTCTCTCTGATTGACTTATTTTGCTAGCATAATACCCTCTAGTTCCATCCACGTTGTTGTAAATGGCTGTTATCACTTCTAATGATTTTTAGCTAAATATACCAAGTCTGATTAAAATTATAATCTAGGGCTTGGTTATACCTGAAAATAAAGCACAATGAAGGAATTTATCTCAAAATTTCAATTACCTTTCTCCTTTCTGGCGTTTTAAGTTTCCTTTATATTCATCCCACTTGCTCTTGTCTGCAAGATCACCAGATACAAAATCTTGAAGGTCTGGTCCATTTTGTAAGAATTCTTTTCTTTTATCTGGCAAGGAACTTACTGCTCTGACTGGACTGCATAAATATCTTCCAAATACCTAAAGACAGAGTTCGTTAAGACATGTATTTAGTGGGGTTTGAAATAACTTAGTTTTAACCTATTTAGATACCTAAAAAGAGAGGGTAAAACCAGAGAACTGATAGAGAAATTATATTGAACAATTTTCAAGCTCTGTCTAGGAGCTCAGAATCTAGGATTAAAGTCTCTTTTAAGAACAAACGAAACCTAAAAGAGAATGGGAGCTAAATGTTCACTGCTAGAGGTACAATAGATTTGGAAACCTTTGGACCTGGCTCACATATGTCACACTTTCATGTAACCCACTTAACTACTAAAAGTCTGTCTTTCATAAAGTTTAAACTGCAATAATAACTGGAGATGCCACAGCTTTCAATTTTCCACTCCTGAGTCGAGTCAAGGACGTTTAAAAGGAAATTTGCAGTAAGTCTCTCTTATTTGGGCTTTGGATAGACATAGGTGTTAAAATGTAGAGGTAATGCTCAGTTGGTTTCAGAGAACTGAAAGGGGGGAAACCAAACCTAATGTTTTAATTTTCTAGATTACATTCTATGTTTGAACACGGTAGTCACTCAATATACATTTGTTGGCCGTAAGAAACCACTGGCTTCTAGATCTGAACACAAACGTGTACGAGATAGCCAAAACACTAAAATTCAGGATTCAGTACATGCAACGCAAGAGAACCTTCAACAATTAAAAAAGAGTGCCTGCTGGGGTGCTGCGGGATTGCTACTGCATTTGATCACTCTGCCGCTAAAAGCAGAACACAGGTTTTTGTTCTCATAGCCCAGACTGGTGTCTAGTACAAGGTAAGAGCCCATCACAAGTAGGAATTTGGCGTGCTCAACGCAGTGCTCCTATAATGCTCCAATTAATACAGGGTTCAGATCACTCTGACAGCAGAAAAAAAAAAAAAAGCCCTCATCGCCTGCCAGAGAGACCTACAAACCAATACCAGAGACTCTACACGATCGTGTGTCGGGAGAATTAAATGAGATACTACATGAAAAATTTTAGATCAGCGCCTAGCTAAAAGTCAACGCTCAGTAAGTGCTGGCCTTGTTATTGGGCGCTCTGAAGAGATGGGAGCCCCCCCACCCCGGCCCGCACCCTGCTCGCCCCGCCGCTCACCCGGGGCCCCACGGCGCAGGCGGCGCCCCCGCAGCGCAGAGACATCCCTCTCTTTTTTTTCTAGCAGGGTCGAGGGATCGCTAATTCTCGGGAAAGACAGATCAACAAACCGTCGCTCGGCTTATGACAAGCAACCTGAGCCACCACTGACCCGGTGGGACTTGAGCTGCTCCGCGATTGGCTGCTTTCGCCTGGTAGCGTCGCGCGCTCGTGACGTCACACGCAGGGGCCTTACGGGCTACAAGAACGTGATGACGAAAGACGTTCTCTCTTTGCCGCATCTCCTGCGAGGTGAGGTTGTTTCTGAACTTTGTGGGTTTTGGGAATCTGAAGCCATCGGCGCGGGGAAGGTCACGGGCGCGAGTCTGGCGCTCGGAGCGTCTATGTTGGTTGTTCCCCAGCGTGGCGAGCGCCATATGGATCTGGTGGCCCTGGGATTCGAGCGCCGTGTTGGACTTGTTGGCCTACCCCCGCCCCTCAGCCTTGCCGGGCTGGCGCCGCCGTAATAGGGCTGCTAGGGTTGCGCCGGGCGGGAGTTCGCCCGCTGTGCTCGTAGTACCTGCTTAGGAGCTGCTCCTCCCAGGCCGGGACTCAGCGGGGGCTGTGCTCCCGTGGGTGCTCTGTGTCCGGCCGCGGGTTTCTGCTTGCCAGGCTCCGGGACGAGTGGAGCTCCGCGCTGGGTAGTGCGGCCGCAAACGGGCCCCGCGCCGGCCTCGTAACCCCAGGTGTTTGTGTTTCAGAATGAAGACCATTCTCAGCAATCAGACTGTCGACATTCCAGAAAATGGTATGAGACCTGACGTTTGTGTTCTTGTCACGTCTTTACTGCCTGCTCTGTACCTTGTTCCGAGGCCTCACAAATACGTTCTCTCGTAGTCGACATCTCTCTGAAGGGACGCACAGTTATTGTGAAGGGACCCAGAGGAACCCTGCGAAGGGACTTCAATCACATCAACGTAGAACTCAGTCTCCTTGGAAAGAAGAAGAAGAGGGTGAGATACGGGGTTTTTTGACGCGTTCACGGTTTCTTTGGAAGGTGGTGATTTCATAGCACCGAATTTGGTTGCTGTAGGAATTACAGAATTGACGGTCAGTGTTTCAGCTTAAAATTGTGTGTCCAGAAGTGGAGCTAGTTTTGGTGGTGCTGCTTTAGTGAAGTTGGGAAAACGAATTCTGACGGGATTATAAAGCTCAATATTAATATTAGTACCATAGTCGTCATTAGCGTCAGGGTTGTATGCTGTTCATACTGTATTTAGACAAGGGAAGTATGATGCAATTTGAAAAAATGAGTATTTCTGGGTTGACATTCCCTTGTGAAATGGGTCCTGTGATGTGTAGTAGTAAAAAGTAATAATTGAGGGCTTTATATGTGGTTGCTTTAATTAGGGCTAATAGTTGAATCTAGAGTAATTCCATGAATAAGCGAATTTTTCTTTCAAGCCTAGTTATTACTGGAAAGAATCATACAAAGTTTTTGTTCCGTCACAGCTCCGAGTTGACAAATGGTGGGGAAATAGAAAAGAGCTGGCTACTGTCCGCACTATCTGTAGTCACGTACAGAACATGATCAAGGGCGTTACGCTGGTAAGCAGATTGATCGGACTGCCTCGGTTTGGAAGGGGAAGTTTTTCAGCTGTAATGTATGTATGCAACATAAATGTCTACTGCAGAACATAGACCATGCCTGTAATTCATCGAGGTGGTTGGAAAGGTGATCTTGGCAGTTTATAATAGGCATCCATGGGTCTTTAAGATTAAGTGATAAATGTGAGTAAAGACCATGCAGTCTTAATACTAGACTGATGGTGTTTTGTTCTGTTTTGTTTTTCCCCCACAAAATTCACAGCTTCAGGATGTGTGGTGTTGGGGTTTTTTGTTGGTTTTTTAATAGAAAATGTAGCACATAAGATAGGCTTTGATTTCTTGTTGGCATGCCGCTCCTTGAAGGGATAGAAAAAGCTGGATCTCCTTTCTGTGTTCCCTGTCTACTTCCCTAAAAGCATATTTGATGTCACTATTCTCTTTATACTTCCTTCCCCCCCGCCCCCTGCTTTAAGATAAAGTTCATGTTGCTGTCTTCACTGAAATGCTTTTCTTTGCATTAAAAGTCAGTCCTTTCAGAGTGCACCTCATAATGGCCCCTTTCAACTCCATTATAAGCCTATTGGATCATGTTTCCCCTATTTACCCTTGCTACCAGGCTAAGTTCCTTGAGGCAGGGCCTGTCTGAATTCTTGTCATCTGGTATACCTTAGTAACTCAGTAAATGTTAGTCTAGTGTTCAAGATGAAGGGCTTTGGGGTTCTCATTTTTAAAAGCTGGCATTGTTTACAGTGGTCATAGGAAATAGTAAAATAAATGCTTCCTTTAACAGTCTGAAAAGAATCAAACATTTTTATGTATACAATTTGGAAGGTTTGGTGCAGGTGACCGTTGTTAACCAAATCTTGACAATGAGTGCTATGTGAGGATTGTTTCATTTTTAAATTATAAGTAATGTAAGCATCCTACAAAATTTGAAAACTGGATTTGTCTCAAATTGCTCAGGTCTGCTAATAGTTTGTTTACTTAAACAGGGCTTCCGTTACAAGATGAGGTCTGTGTATGCTCACTTCCCCATCAACGTTGTTATTCAGGAGAATGGTTCTCTTGTTGAAATCCGAAATTTCTTGGGTGAGAAATACATCCGCAGGGTTCGGATGAGGCCAGGTATGTGCGTACCTTTTAGATACGGTTTAGAAATGTTTACTTGTGAAGATGTGTTTTGGGTTGGCTATAAATCCATATTTATTTCAGAATTGTCCATTTTGATTATGCTTATAATAACTCTTGGTGTTAAGGTTTTATATTGTATTCGTACTGATTGTGATTCTTAAAGGTTTATGCATTGGAGTAGTTTCAGGGGGTGTTAGCTGTGTTTAATTCTCTTTGCAAACTGAGATCCTAAAAAAAAAAAATGCGAATAGTGGTTAATAACATAGACTGCCTAGGGGCGCCTGGGTGGCTTAGTCGCTGCCTTAGGCTCAGATCGTTATCTCAGGGTCCTGGGATTGAGCCCTGCGTAGGGCTCCCTGATCAGCAGGAAGCCTGCTTCTCCCTCTCCCACTCCCCCTGCTTGTGTTCCCTCTCTGTTAAATAAATAAATCTTTAAAAAACAAAACAAGGGGCGCCTGGGTGGCTCAGTTGGTTAAGCGACTGCCTTCGGCTCAGGTCATGATCCTGGAGTCCCGGGATCGAGTCCCGCATCGGGCTCCCTGCTCAGCGGGGAGTCTGCTTCTCCCTCTGATCCTCCCCCTCTCATGCTCTCTGTCTCTCACTCTCTCTCTCTCAAATAAATGAATAAAATCTAAAATAAAAAAAAATAAAAAAACAAAAACATACATTGTCTAGGTTCAAATCTCAGTTCTCCTATCATCCTTGGGCAAATCATCTACCTCTCTAGCTCATTTTACTCATCTAAAATTGGGAACATCTCATGGTTAAATGAGTTAAAACTTGTAACAGTTCTTGGTAACATAGTAAACATTAAGCACATTTTGTTTTTAATTTTTTTTAGACATTAGAAAATTATATTTATTTAAAAAAATTTTAAGTAATCTCTACACAACCCCGAGATCAAGAGTCAACATGCTCTACTGACTAAGCCAGCCAGGTGCCCCAACATTAGAAAATTTTAAAGCTTAGTGTTCTCTTGATGCTTGATTCCACTGGGGTGGGAAGAAAGAATTCTTAGTACCATTTAATGAGTTTACAGAAATACTGTGTGGTATTAGCTATGGTTAACAGCATTTAATGGGAACCCTTATATAAAAAAGAAACTTGAGAGGTACCAAATCTGTAGAGTCCTAGGAATAAGACTTGATAACAAAGCTGTGAACGGCTAAATTGCATTAGCTGAATACTGTCTTTACTCCTTGCCTGAATCACTGAAAGTCTTAACTACTCTGGAACAGATTCATTCAAGCAGGAACACAAACAAGATTTTGCCCAGATTAAGTCAGATCCTGTAAAATCAGAATCTCAAGAAGTTTCATTTGTTCTGTGGAATTGTAAATAGAATAAGGTGTTACTTTAAATGTTTTTAAATTATTTTGTACAGATTTGATTTTATTTTTACACTATGTGAATGCCTTCTCCCTTTTTTAGGTGTTGCTTGTTCTGTATCTCAAGCCCAAAAAGATGAGTTAATTCTTGAAGGAAATGACATTGAACTTGTATCAAACTCAGGTTTGTATGTTTACTATGCCTAATTATGCCTATAGAATTTTGTTTAAATCTTGTAGTTGAATACATGGTATTCTGTTCATTTGGTGAGCATTTTCATTTGTGGAATTAAGTAAAAAACTACCCCAAAAATAATAGGCTTTAAGTATGGCATATAATAAAATCCTTTTATTTTAAGATGAGTTTGGCTGGTAATGTAATTTCCTTATCTTTTTTACTGTTAATAGCTGCTTTGATTCAGCAAGCCACAACTGTTAAAAACAAGGATATCAGAAAATTTTTGGATGGTATCTATGTTTCTGAAAAAGGAACAGTTCAGCAGGCTGATGAATAAGATCTGAGGTAGGTTCTTGCAGTGTCTGTAAGTTTCCTTACTGCTTTAGTTTTAGAGGTCTTAATTTACTAAGTCTGAAACTGGAGTTTTAATGGCAGAAAATGAGTTACATTCTGGAACACAATAAATGGCAGAATAAGAAAAGTGACATGCAGGGCGCCTGGGTGGCTCAGTTGGTTAAGCGACTGCCTTCGGCTCAGGTCATGATCCTGGAGTCCTGGGATCGAGTCCCATGTCGGGCTCCCTGCTCAGCAGGGAGTCTGCCTCTCTCTCTGACCCTCCCCCCTCTCATGCTCTCTATCTCATTCTCTCTCTCAAATAAATAAAATCTTTAAAAAAAAAAAAAAGAAAAGTGACATGCATTTTTACTATGAACTAGTAAGTTAGAATCTTAAACTTGTTTTGGATTATTTAGAGTAGAACTTGTTTTGGAGGGTATTGATGGGAATTGACAGATCTTTTTATTTCTTTTTACAGTTGTCCATCTACAGAAACAGCAAGATGCCGGATGATTTTTCATACTTACTTGTGATATTTTAAAGACGCAATAAAAGCTATACTGGTTTGGGCCTTTTTCTTTTAGATTTTATTTGAGGGAGACAGTGTGAGAGAGTGCGTG